ATTCCTGGATTATGTTAATGGAAACACTTGGGGGGGGGGGGGTGAAATTGAGTACAGTCTATAGCAAAACATCGGTGGAATTTTTGGACCTCACAATATAGACTCTGCTACAGTAAAGACAAAAATGCACTTTAAAGAGGTTGCAGAAATGCGATGGATAATAGTTTTATCCTTAAAGAAAGTTGCCACCTACTAGCATGGCTTAAAAATGTTCCCTACAATGAATTTAGAAGACTACGACACAATTGTACGGACCATCAAGTGTATATGGAGCAGGCAAAGACTATGAAGGATACATTCTTAGCTAAAAACTTGGAAACTATGGAAATACACAATGCATTACAGAAGGCAGAAAACTTGGATCGAACTGACCTGAAGAAAAAGGAAAAAAAACAGAAAAATTAGCCCAGGAAATAAGTTTCCAGCAATTATCCTGGATTATAACAAAGAAAATGCACAACTTAAGAGAATAATTAGGAAACACTGGCACCTGTTAAAAAAGGATAAACTACTTGCCAGTAGTTTACCAGACAAACCGAAAATTATTTTCAGGGGAGCACAAAACAACAAGAGGAAATTAGCGAATAGTCACCTTCAAACAATAAAAGGGAAAATTGAGACTAAAAAGAAAGGTTTCTTCTATTGTCATGACTGTATTGCCTGCAGAACAAGTAAGAGAAAGGCAACAAAGGGGATATATGAGATCTCCCGAAAAAATTCAAAGGAAACATTAAAGATCAAGGATTTCTTAACATGTCAAAGTACAAACATGATTTACATGTAGGAGTATCCATGCGGACTCCAGTACGTAGGTAGAACTAAGAGACAATTGTATGTCAGAATTAGAGAGCACATGCTGAATATTAAAAAGAAATATATGCAACATTCAGTATCAGCCCACTTTATGGACCACCATGAATCAGACATGAGCCTCTTGAATTTCCAAGCCATTTGTAAAATAAGAAAAAATTGGAGAGGAGGAGATCATAATAAACAATTAGGAATGGCAGAAATGAAATGGATATACAATTTAAATATGATGCAGCCTAATGGCTTAAATGCTGAATTTGAATTATGCCATTTCCTGGGTTAAACACTTACTTTTTCCTATGTGTTCGAATCTATCTCCACACTATCCTCATATTACAAAAAAATTGCCTCTCAAAAACACTGTAGCAATTATCAAAAGAATTTCTCCTATAATATCTATTGAAAAAATATTTTTATAAGTAGGGCCCCTTTAAGAAATATGACAAATCTTAAAAGAACGCTGGCAAAACAGAAAACTAATTTTATCTACATATACTTTTATATTTCTATTAACTTTTGACAATGATAAGTCTGAAACCCCAAAAAACAGGTATCAATGTTAAACAGAAAGGGTCCCTTTAAGGAATCTAATATTTACTGAAGTCTAACATCAGAACAGTACACAAATTCACATATTTGTTGAGTGTTTCTGGTACTTTTATTTTTCCTTTTGATTCTCTCTTTTTTCTTCTTTTCATTTAGTAGTAAATGGAAAACCATGTTACTTGCAACGTTAGAACAGTTAGATAGAAACGGGACTAACCATGGCAACCAGGATTAAACAAAGACAGGTTTTAAAAAATATGTTAAGACATTTAGTAATGTATGTGATCGCAACAATGTATTGTTATATCCAGGCCCGGACTGGCCATCGGGCATACCGGGCAAATGCCCGGTGGGCCGCGATGGTCATGGGGCCGAGGCCGGCAGGGGATCTCCCCGGCCGGCCGCTGTAGGGCCAGCGCTATCCGAGCGCCGGCCCTGCTGTGGGCCAGTGGGGAGATCAAAGATCTCCCTCACCAGCCCACAGACAGGGAGATGCGGCCACCGGCTGGGGAGGGAGGGAGGCAGGAGAGGACCGGCGGAGCTCTAACAAGCAGCTCCGCCGGGCCCTCTCGCGGGAATCTGAGCATTGCCGCGGTTACCACAGCAACGCTCAGATCTCGCGAGAGTGAACTCTAACCCTCAGGGTTAGCGTTCACTCTCACCACTAGGACCACCAGGGAAGGCAGCACCCTCCATGTCAGCATGCCCCCCCCCTCATGGCAACAAGGCTCCCCCACCCCCTCCCAGGCTAAAGGTAAGAAGGGGGGGGGTGACATAACTTTTTTTTTTTAGTATTAATAAAAAAAATAGCATATATTTAAAAATAATTTCCTAACAGCCCCCAGACACACACAGCCCCAGACACACACAGCACCACAGACACACAGCACCCAGACACACACACTGCACTTGTTTCGCTTTTACAGCCCCAGACACACACACAGCACCCCTGGGCGCACACCTTTTGGGCACAGCACCCAGACACACACAACACCCCAGACACACACACAGCGCAGACACACACACAGCACCCAGACACACAGCACCCCAAGACACACACAGCACCCAGACACACGGCACACACAGACACACACAGCACACGGACGCACACACTGCCCCACAGACACCACGCAGCACCCACAGACACACACAGCGCACCACCGGGCGCACGGCCCCCCCAGGTACAGCACCCAGACGCACACACAGCACCCCCAGACACACACTGCGCGGAACACGCACACAGCACCCCACAGACGCACACACAGCACCCCCAGACACACACACAGCACCCCCAGACACACACACAGCACTGAACACACAAACAGCACCCAGACACACACAGCACCCAGACACACACACAGCACCCCCGACACACACACAGCACCCCGACACACACAGCACCCAGACACACACAGCACACAGACACACACAGCACACACACAGCACCCAGACACACACACAGCACCCCACAGACACACACAGCACCCCACAGACACACACAGCGCACCCCCAGACACACACAGCACACCCAGACACACACAGCACCCCCAGACGCACACAACACCCTCAGACAGACAGCACCCTCACTCCCACACATATACAGCACATATATAGTATATAAAATAACCCTTAACAGACAAATAAAATTAGAAACCCAGAATGTGATGGCAGATAAAAACACCCTTACACACAGCACTCCTCTTACACAAACACACTGCGCACCTCACACATACAATACGTCCAAATATATATTATATATATATATATATACACACACACACACTACAGCGCCCCTCACACTGCACCACTACACACATTACGCTCCAGATACACGCTAGATCCCTTACCCTATATGCACTCTTAATCCTCTATACACACACACACACACACACACAATCTTCTATATACACTCTGGGTCCTTTACACACTAGATATCTTACACACACACTGCACCACCTACACACACACACTACATTCCTTGTAAGCAAATACATACAACATTCTCTAAACACACCCTCTCTACAACCCCTACACACACTACGTCACCTATACACACACACACTACTGCCCGTATGCACACACTTGCTACATCCACTATAACACTATGCCCCTATACACGCACTCTCTACAGCCTCTAGCCACACATATTACACCACAAAATTGACCTATTTACACAATACCACACCACACTCTACACACAGGCAATCCCACAAGCATGCGCCAAACACATGCACCATACACTTTCCTGGCCCTTTTGTCCTCTGGTATCCCACTTGTGGAGACACTAGAGACAATTTAAAAGCAAACACAGCGCAAGCATGTTATTACATTTGCTTGCGCTGCGCAGAACAAATACAGGGCCTTTTTCTAATGCTAGAGCTCTTCAGCGGGGCTCAGCGCATTGAACCAACATGCTCACTTTCAGAGGGGGTGTACTTGTCATTAGTGATGACAAAACACACCCTCTCTGGCCCCGCCCCCTTCTTGGGGGGCCGCTCTAATTGAAAAATGCCCGGGCCTAATTTTTTTCCCAGTCCGGCCCTGGTTATATCTATAGAGTTTGTAATAATATGAAATGGATAGAAAATGAGTTTAGGATCTTTTAATGAAACAGTGATGAAATTAAATAGCCTCATAAATGAGAAAAGGAAAGTTAGATTAAAAACAAAAGAAGTAAGGTATGTAGAAGAAGATAAAGGTCTAGTTGACTGCCTCAATTAATATTTTTGTTCAGTATTTTCAGATGAAAATTAAGGAAAGGGACCTCAGTTGGGAAAAAGGACAAATGAGCCATTTATTACATGTGAGTTTACAGAGGAAGAGGTTCTATTTTAACTGGCAAAAGTAAAGACAAATAAGTCAATGGGACCTGATGGAATACACCCAAAGCTATTAAAAGAGCGTAGTGGTGTACTAGCAAAACCATTAACAGATTTATTTAACCAATCATTGCTAACAGGAGTATTCCCAGAAGATTGGAAGTTAGTGAATGTTGTGCCCATCCATAAGAAAGGTAATAGGGAGGAGTCAGGCAACTATAGGCCAGTAAGCCTTACTTCAGTAGAGGGGAAAGTGATGGAAACCATGTTAAATGATAGGATTGTGGAACATCCAAAAACACATGGATTTCAAGATCAGAGACAACATGGGTTTACTTCAGGGAGCTCATGCCAAATTAATCTTATTGATTTTTTTTTTGATTGGGTGTGGCGAAACCAGCCTCGCCACTGTCCACTGGAGGAGCCTGGTTGCTCGCCTGCTGCCTTTAGACTATGGCCCGGCAGTTAAAACCTTTTATGTTCCCTGCAAAGCGTATTCATGCCTTTCTGTAGACTGTGAAAGCCATGCTACCCCAGATAGCTATGCCATGGAGCCCAGCCGTATACTGAAAGACTGTATGAAAGACTTTGGCTCCATGGCGATTGAACTGTATTTATGTGATCTGAGCGCCATTCGGTAGTAATGTGCACTCAGATCTAAGCTATCTGGGGATATGTAGAATGTCTATGTTTTATGGAATAAATGTAACTGTATGTAATTTTATGTCTTTTATTGTATTGTTACTGCCATGTGGTTAATGGAGTCTTGCCTCTGTCCTGGGAGATAATTGGATTACTTCACACTTATCTCCTGGACAGAGAGGAGGGATTGTGATGTAAATGTGGGTGTGTTTTATGGTTCCCCTGTAATGATTGGTTGTACTGTGTCCCACCCTGTGGGATGTCCCCTTGCATGGGGACTTGCATAAAAGCCAGTGTGTGGCCATTACAGAGAGCTCCTGTTTTAACCCTCAAAGTGAAGTGTCGTCTCATTATTGGGGGAAGGATTCATTGTATGCTGTTCCAGTTTGACTGCTAGGAGAGTAAACCTATTCGTATGGTTCCTATTCAACTGTCTACAGCATTCATATGCTTGAGAGGATTCATATGCTTCTCCGGTTCGGTGGTTGTGGTGTCTGCTGCAGTGCTTGGAGTCCTCAGGAAGCGCTAGGAGCATCCTTTAATGGAGGTACCCAGTCGGGGTGCCAGGTGATCCGTTACATTGGTGGTAGAGGTGGGATCCCAACCAAGCTGCGGCGGTTCGTGGGGTCTGCAGTGGTTATGGTGTCAGGCAGAGTGCTTGGAGTCCTCGGAAAGCACTAGGAGCATCCGTCGGCGGAAGGTACCCGGTCGGGGTGCCAGCGGTTCCGTTACATTGGTGGCAAGCGGTGGGATGGAGTCCTAGTGCGAGGAGAAGCAGCGCGGAGGCACCAGTAACATTTGGAATTACAATTTGAGGGCAACGCTAGTATTCGTACAGCGCCCCTGTTCACAGCAAACATGACCTATCGCTTTGAGGGCGACGCTTACAGGGAGGAGGTCAAGAGGCGGTTAACCAGATATGGCCCGAATCTTTCAACAGAGGCGATTCTGGCAACCATGCGCAAGTTGGATGAGGAGAATCGAGCGGCATGGGAATTTGAGCTCCGATTGCGGAGATTGGGGCTGTGGCCAATTGATCTCTATCCCCAGCGGCAGACAGCATCCCAGGGAGAGGAGATTGTCGGTCCCTCGTCCCTGCAACAACCATCATCACTGGGAGTTGAGACAGTCGCTCTGACTCCCCAGCGGCAGTGGGTTGTCAAGGGAGAGGAGACAACCGGTCTCTCTCCCCAGCGGCAGACAGCATTACAGGGAGAGGAGATTGTCGGTCCCTCGTCCCTGCAGCAACCATCATCACTGGGAGTCGAGACAGTCGGTCTGACTCCCCAGCGGCAGTGTGTTGACAAGGGAGAAGAGACAACCGGTCTCTCTCCCCTGCGGCAGTGCAAGTTACAGGGAGCCGAAGGTGTCGCCCTTCCTCCCCAGCGGCAGTGTGAATTCCAGGGAGCCGAAGGTGTCGCCCTTCCTCCCCAGCGGCAGTGCAAGTTACAGGGAGCCGAAGGTGTCGTCCTTCCTCCCCAGCGGCAGTGTGAATTACAGGGAGCCGAAGGTGTCGCCCTTCCTCCCCAGCGGCAGTGTGAATTCCAGGGGGCCGAAGGTGTCGTCCTTTCCCCCCAGCAGCAGTGTGTCCTACCGGGAGCAGAGACAGTTGGTCTCTCTCTCCAGCAGCAGGACAATGTTATGGGAGTGGAGACAGGCGGTCTCCCTCTCCAGCGACAGACTGTGTTTCAGGGAGAGGAGCACAGCACCCTATCTCCCCAGCGGCAGCTTACCCTACCAAGGGGAGACACCATTCTCCCAGATGGCACAGAGGGGACCGTGGTCTCCGTGCCCGACCTACAGGGATGCTGGACAGCCTGTCCAGATCCCCAACTACCCTCACAGGGACAACAGGAGGAGGGGGTAAGTACGAATTCCCCTCCCCAGCTAACTCCTAACTTGGCCCCAGGGTTAACAGAGGAGATGGTAACCCCCACTGACTCCCATGTTCCCCTGGCTACTGAGCCGGACTATGTTCCCAGCACCCCAGCAGAAGAGCTGACAGCTGGACAAAGTGCAGTCGGCCTCTGCCCTCCCTTTGACCCTTGTACAGAGCTTGACATTCTGCCGGCTATCCCAGCGCAAGAGCTGACATCAGGGCAGAGCGCCGCTGGCCTTTGCCCCCCAAGTACCACCAGCTATTTGCCCAGCTGCACCAGGAAGGCCGAGGATGCTGCATTTTTATCCTACAACCTGGAACCTAACGGCCAGTACTGTTTATTGTCGGGGGGCTACTTTGCCACTTGTTATTTGTGGGTGGGCTACTCATGTACTTGTTCACTGTGGGTGGGTTTATCGACTAACTCAGGCACTGACCGACAGGTCAGGTACCTGGTTAGTCTCCCCCCCAAAGGGGAGATGTGTGACGAAATGCATTTTGTCCCTGGATTGTTAGGTGACAAGCTGCCCTTTGCCCCGGCTTTTGGAGGAGCCTGATTGCCAGCCTCCTTCCTCATGACTATGGCCCTGGGGTGTATTGCCATTTAAAAAAGACTATTTGGGGCTTATTGGCTTCTAAAGACAGTTTCTTCCCATTGGAATCCATGGGAAGGTGGGTTTCTTCCCCTTCCCCGTTTCCTGTCTATTGTTCACCTAGATTGGGCGCTCAGATCCGAGCTATCTGGGGATAGGTTAAATGTGGGGGTTCTGTGTAATAAAATAAGAATTATGTATTTTTATGTACTTTTACGTGTTTTTGCTGTTAGTGTTAAATGTAGATATTTTCTGTACCTGGAGATAATTGAGTTTACTGCAGTGCCTTAAGCCAATTATCTCCAGGATGGAGAGGAGGGATTTCATTGTGTATGTGAGAATGTTATTATGTTAATTAGTGTTCCCATTGGTTTGTGTCCCTTTTGTCACAGTTTACCACCAGGTCCAGGGGGTGTGCCTCTGACCTGAAAACTTGTATATAAGGAGTAATAAACGCTCATTGGAGTCAGATCATCTTGTACCTTCATGAAGTTTCGGCTCATGTTTGGGGGATTGGAGAAACTACACTCTGGGGATTGCTATAATCACTATACTCCCCAGGGTATAATCACTAAGCTCTGCTAAGAGCTTGTTCCTGTTCCTGCTCTCTGGAATTCGGAGAGAGGTCGACCTGCTGGAAGCTGGACCCTGGTCCTGGGTCCAGAGTGGGTGGAGACGGCGAGATCCCAACCAAGCTGCGGCGGTTCGTGGGGTCTGCAGTGGTTATGGTGTCAGGCAGAGTGCTTGGAGTCCTCGGAAAGCACTAGGAGCATTCGTCGGCGGAAGGTACCCGGTCGGGGTGCCAGCGATTCCGTTACATTGGGTAACTAAAATTATAGATCAGGGTGGTGCAGTAGACATTGCTTACCTATATTTCAGTAAGGCTTTTGACACTGTTGCACATAGAAGGCTTATCAATAAACTGCAATCTTTAAGTTTGGATTCCAATATTGTTGAATGGGTAAGGCAGTGGCTGAGTGACAGGCAACAGAGGGATGTAGTAAATGGAGTATATTCGAAGCATGGGCTTGTCACCAGTGGGGTACCTCAGGGATCTGTACTTGGACCCATTCTCTTTAATATTTGTATTAGTGATATTGCAGAAAGACTTGATGGTAAGGTATGTCTTTTTGCTGATGATACCAAGATATGTAACAGGGTTTATGTTCCAGGAGCGATAAGCCAAATGGCAAATGATTTAGGTAAACTAGAAAAATGGTCAGAGTTGTGGCAACTGACATTTAATGTGGGTGGATAAGAGCAAGATAATTAATCTTGGACGTAAAAACCCAAGGGCATTGTACAGAGTATTTGATAGAGTCCTAACCTCAACATCTGAGGAAAGGGATTTAGGGGTGATTATTTCTGATGACTTAAAGGTAGGCAGACAATGTAATAGAGCAGCAGGAAATGCTAGCAGAATGCTTGGTTGTATAGGGAGAGGTATTAGCAGTAGAAAGAGGGAAGTGAGCATGCCATTGTACAGAACACTGGTGAGACCTCACTTGGAGTATTGTACAGAGTACTGGAGACCGTATCTTCAGAAGGATATTGATACCTTAGAGAGGGTTCAGAGAAGGGCTACTAAACTGGTTCATGGATTGCAGGATAAAACTTACCAGGAAAGGTTAAAGGATCTTAACATGTATAGCTTGGAGGAAAGACGAGACGGGGGGATATGATAGAAACATTTAAATACATAAAGGGAATCAACACAATAAAGGAGGAGACCATATTTAAAAGAAGAAAAACTACCACAACAAGAGGACATAGTCTTAAATTAGAGGGACAAAGGTTTAAAAATAATATCAGGAAGTATTACTTTACTGAGAGGGTAGTGGATGCATGGAATAGCCTTCCAGCTGAAGTGGTAGAGGTTAACACAGTAAAGGAGTTTAAGCATGCATGGGATATGCATAAGGCTATCCTAACTATAAGATAAGGCCATGGACTAATGAAAGTATTTAGAAAATTGGGCAGACTAGATGGGCCGAATGGTTCTTATTTGCTGTCACATTCTATGTTTTTATGTTTCTATGTTTAGATACAAAGAGTATGTCAGTCAGTCCATATCCATTGAAAAAGCCACCGAAGCGGAGAAACTCATTTGGAGAGGACCTGACTCCTATCACCAGCATGCAGTATACACAAGATCCTGATCTCAACTCAGTTCAGAAAGAACACGCTGTTTACTCGGGACGCCGAGCAACTTGCTTGAGGTCTGCACTTTATTAAAGTTATAAGACAACTAGTACAGACAAACATGTAGATTGTCTATATATTTTATGAAGATATTTATAATATTTTTACGAGGAATGTCTCACATAAAGTCATTTTAAAAGTACTTCATCTCTGCCTTTATTGAGTGGGATAGATTTTATAACATAGTTTTATTTTTTAATTCATTTTTCATATACCTGGATCTGTGCTATGGAATGAGCTGCTAATCTGAATTATATTTTGCCTAAAGCTGTTGGTGACTATCCCTAACCCCCTTATGAAATATCTAATATATCTGTAACATATCTTTAGGAGTATTTAGGAGGGACATTTTACTTTGAGCCCAAATCTTTGTCCAGGTTTTCTATCCTAATGTCCCTCTTTTCTAGGAGCTCCATAATTGTGTGTCTGAGTGTATACAGCAATAATATTCACATTAATGTGTCTTTAAACCACAATAAATGTCTTTACAAATCAGTCTGTGTAAATTCGATATATTGTTTTTGTTCTAAATTATATTTTCGTTACAAAAATTTTTATTAGTAAAACACTTAAAATTTCTCTGAACAGCCTTGCCTGTATTCAGAAATTCTCCAAAGGTTCTTTGTAGTCAGTTTCCAAAACTCCCATCCCATTCCCAGTCCTGTGTCTAGACCTGCAGACCTTTATCATAAGGGTGGATATTTTTTCGTTTCAAATCTAAGTTCAGTACATCCAAACACACCCACAATAATGCTGAAAACCAGAGCTTGCATTAAGAAAATACCATGAGGAAAAAAAATGTAATTTGTTTCAATTGAAAATAACTGTCATTCTTACACATGACCACTGTGTGGCACTCTTACCTTCAAGTTACAGATAGAAAATGTACAGGTTTATTTGCTAAAAAGAGTAGTCAAAGTAAATTAAAAGTAAACTGAAAATGACTTTCAAAGGAGGAGATCAGTGCTATGAGGGAGAAGTAAAACCTGACAGAGCAGTTAAATGTTGACTCGCGCACTATAGCAATAGGAATACATATTTGTATTCCTAAAACTATAGTGATCCTTTGACATTTACAGTACAAGGTCATAAGGT